TGACGAGCTGGCCCGAACTCTACCAGAAGATTTACTCGTGCGCGCCCTCGCTAGACCCTCGCTTTTGGCGCCCCTGCTAACTGCCGCAGACATCTCAAGCCCGGCACCGGCTGGATAGAGCATATTGAAATCGACATGGAGCCGCGCTGCGACGACTACACGCTGCCCCCAGACAGCATGCTCACCAAGTGGTACGGCTGGCTAGCTGACGCCACGCAACGAGTTTCGCGCCCAATCGCCTACGAACACCGCACCCGCCAGCTGCTGCAGGCCGCCGGCTTCATCGACATCCAGGAGACGGTTATTCGCGTCCCCTACAACACATGGCCCAATGACCCGCACCAGAAGGATATTGGGAGGTGGTACAACTTGGGCCTGACCGAGGGTCTGGAGGCGCTAACCTTTGCACCTCTCACAAGGGTCTATCAGTGGGACCTCAACGCGCATGTCAGGCCAGTGCTCGAGAGTGTTCGCAGGGAAATCTGCAACCGCAAAATCCATGCGTACAACAACATGTAAGTCACGCACCAATCCGCGCCTGCCCACGCCCACTGACCGGCCCAAAGCCACATCTGGACTGCCCGCCGTCCCCAGCAGTAGCATCTCGCACCACCCTTGTACCACTCTGTTCATGGATAGTTTGCCTGCCCGCTACACAGGTAGCCCCTGCCAGGCACCCACCTAGCCCGGACTGGCTTTCCCCCGACGCTCTATCGAGCGCATCAACGCGACGGCCTCGTTACACCTGGACTCTAGAGATGCTTCCAGGATGTTGTGCATTCCGCGACACCATTTTTAGCCTCACTTTCGCCGATCCCATGGCTCACGCACCAGCGCGAACCTCCTCGGAACAGGGGATTTTGCCTCTTCTGCCTTTCCTCGCGTCGACTTGCTCTTCACCTAATGGCGCATCTTGCGGTAGGGAAAATCGGGTCTTCTTTGGGCGACTACCCCAGTCTGGCGTTACGGCATGTTAAGAATATGATACCTTGATACCTCGGTTTCCTTGCGACAAAACGATTTGTTTGCCTCCATCTTCACGAGAGCATGGCGGTCTCAGCGCGTCAGCTTCGTTGTGCATGTCACGTCCTTTTGCGTCGGTGCAGCGCACACGACGCGAATCATGGTGGATTGCATGCGGCCTTTTGGCTCCTTTCTGACGAGCATGTTGTTGTTTTTTTAGCGGAGCGATCAGGACCCTTGGTGTGTCCCCTTTCTTCGATAGCACGAGCAGTATATAATAGCTGGAATATACCCCCACTTCCTCTCATAGAGTTTATCGCAACGCCTCTCCTGAGAAAGTCTGTCGGAAGTATCGACCCTCTGGGAAGGAGCCATGACGTCGCACAGGTGGCAATGCACTCTATCACTTGTCCGTGATTTATACGCTGCTGCCACGCGTCACCGTTCCGACGTTGTGGGCACTCTTGGCTCTGGGCCAGGATGCCCTCTCGAAGATCTGTAACGGTGGAGACCCAGCGGCGCTTCTACACAAGACGGCGGGACGCATAAGATGGGCGCGTATTGCCTCAGTGTTGCATCGCTGCCTCTCGAGGCCCAGGGTGCCGGACCGATCCATTCTGGAGCAATAATAGCAAGCGAGCTGCAGCATGCCATGGCCAACATGGGTGTCTATCGCCCATGCAGTTGCATGCACGATATACTAGACGGCTGCAACTACGATGTCCGACGGCGCGCGCCCAGTCTAGCAGCTGGAGATATCAGTGCATGACTCGTATGACGTTTGCAGCAGAGGCAGCAAGTTTGTCGAGGTGGTGGCATGCGGGGTGGGAATGGGGGCGAGGGCGAGGGCAAAGGCGTGCGTTCCGATGCTTTGGGCCGGCCGAGGCTTCTGAGGCTTCTCCCGTATCCCGCGTATGGTACCTTCCGCGGACCCTCCAGGGAAGAAGGGAAGGAACGGCCGGCCGCCCACTCGTAGGAGGAAAGGGTGCATCACTGCATCCAACGTCTGGACTCGGACCTACTCACCCTCCGGTCTTCGCGCACTCCAACGCACGCTGCATGCCACTGCAAATGCGAATGCACCCACGGAAAGCAAACCCATGTTTTCCGCGCTCCCTTTTGCCCACACCCCCATCCACGACGCATCGCAATCTTGCGCCGCGTGCAACCAAACAACGCGTCACGTTCGCGCGACCTGCTAACGACATGGAGAGGCGCCATGTCACCATGTTTGATAACCACGGTCCTTTCTCGGTGCATCCCTCAGCCTGTAATGCGCACACCATTGTCAGTGATCGCCGCACAATGTTCTGACATGTCCGGCACCGCCGTGACAGCTCGCCGGTCGACATCGGCATGAGCAGGCGTTGCCGACGCGCTCTGCCTGCATCGTGACCGCCAATTCGTCACAATCGCGTATTGCATCTGCCATCGCCTTTCGCCAGACTACCGGACTCTGCGCTTCCTCCGAGAACCACGCCTCCCCATCCCCGCAACCGAGCCGCACGTGTAGGGGACCGCTTTTCACCTCCGCCGATTCCGTCCTGCCCTGCGTCTATCTTCTCCTCCTTTCGAGCGGCCGCGACAGCCATGTGCGCACCATCAAGGCAACCACCTCGTCTACCAAACTCCTCCTCTGCTCCAACCTATACACCGCCAATGTGACTGGCGAGCGCTGCAAACTCTATTCCGCCCTAGGACCCAGTCCATGATGCGATTCCCACCCTCCGCTGCCCTCGTTACCGATGGCGAGGTCCTGCCGCGCAGCATCTCACATAGTACACCGACGTGCTGCGCCGGCCCTGCGCCACTATTTCCGCCTGTCACCACGCCGCCTGTATCTTACCACTCTCCCGGATAATCTTAGTCCGCTGCGAACCGCAGTCGCCGACCTAATCGCTGTGCGATATACACACTTGTCCGGTGCTAGCAGAGAATGGTGGAAATGAAACTTTGGCCTCGCTGATCTCTCTGCGCTCCGTCCCCAGTCGCATCAGCTGTCAGGTCGAAAAAAATCTTTGCTGCAGAATACATATGCACGACGTTATGGGATTACACTAGCCCATCTGCCGGTGAGCGGCAACCGTTTGCCTGGTCCTTCGACGTGTTGGTGGCGTGGTTGCAACCAACCGTTCGGATCCTCTCCCAGCTCCCAGCTCCCAGCAACAACAACGATGGATTGCTATATTCGGCCCATCTTGTTCGCTCTCGGAGGCAGCGACATTTTACATTATGCAAGGGCGCGCCTTTCGATCCTGCTCGATCCTGCTTGATCCTGCTCCACGGATCCAATGAGCTTTATCCCTCTTACACGATCAGCCAGCCAGCCAGTCAGCCTGCAGAGTGACTGGCCCCACGGACCGGATCCCTCGCAGGTCCCGAAGATGGTCCGCATTAGTTCCCACTGACTTGGCTCTTCCCTTGAAGTCCGTCCGTTCGACTCAGTCAGCTCACATTCCCATCGCTTACACTGAGGAAACATTCCGCACCATGCCACCCTAGGCGACTACTGTCCTGTAAGTTTCCGACTCCAATTTATCCTTTCGTTCATTCGTACCCCCACTATGATGACAAACGCTGGGGCCATAAGAGTTCCTCTCCGCTTCCTCATCTTGCATGGGGAAGTGGATTGCAGGAACAGTGCTTTCAAAAACCAGCAACATTCTACCAAGAATCTTCTCAACTTTTCTGATATTCTACAACAAACCACGCACTCTGGAATGGCGCTTACTCGCCGGGACGTATCCAAAGCTAACCATTGGTCAGGGTCGAACACTCCGGTGCTAAAGCTAGTGCTCTTGTAGCAACTTTAGCACTCCTACTAGCGGAAAGCTTGGTACGTTTAGTTTCGACTCGGTTAAGAGGTCGATCTTGAATCGAGGGTCTGGCATCGGAGAATATGCTCGAGCTGGCAAGGTGGCAGAGATTCGTGACACCACTTGCGTCGCATCTTTGACTCTACACGGTGGTACCGCGTACGCGGGATCTGCGTAGCCGTCGATCCAGGCCGTTCACCTCCGATGACGCGATTCATGAGCCCACAGCGTGGGCATGGGAATGTTTGCGTTTGCCGATGATCGTCGGAGAGGTACGTCGTTAACTCGGTTCTCGCATTCGTATAGCAGCTGGGGAATCCAGTGCATACCCGGTCCAGAGCGGGTGAGTAGTCAAGCCGCCTATGTGACTCCAACGACAAGCGTACGAGTAAGTCCGTGGAGAAAATCAGGAAAAGTCCGTGGAGAAACTCGAGTAAGTCCGTGGGGGAAATTGCACTGAACAGCGTGGAGCAAAGCCTCAGTCATGCCACCGCCCGACGTCGCACAGCATCGACTCATGAAACCCCTATTCTGCTACCTCATCACACACAGCGCCATCCTTCCACATCCAAACCCACCGACTCAACCCTCAATACGTCGTAAATCTCAACACCATAGCTAACTTCGTACGAAAGCGCGTCACCTGCCTCACGTATATTTCCTATTCCTTCTCGCTACACTAACCATTGCACTACTTCAGCTACTCCAACTACTCCAAGCTACTAGAACCACGCCCTTTCTAGCCCCCGTCCTTGCGGCGGCCAACCCTCAGGCGTTATTTGACATTGAGCTGTCGTGATATCTACCGCTTTGGTACTCTAGTATCTGCGGTCGATCTTGGCTCCCGCTAGCTTGTAGAACTAGTAACTGCACTCCGTGGTTTAGCTGCTGTTAAGTTGCATTCTTGCGGCTCGCTTAGGGAGGGTAGTATGGATGGCGGTGGCTTGTGGGAATGGGAGATGAGGGTTTGGTTGGGGGCTTGAACTTCTTTTTGGGGGCTTCCACGTGGAATGGGGTTTAGAGTAGCTGGTTGGGTTGTGTGTGATATGCCCAGGCAGTCATGTGCCAATCACTACTAGTCTACTACCGCATCTGTTTCAGCTGAAAACGACCTTGGTATCTGAGTATGAGAGCTATCTTTCTTCCCTGGTTGGGTACTTGGGTGTTTGAGTGCCATCTACAATACACAGCCGTGTCGTGCTCTTTCTATGAACTTGCTGCTCACGAACAAAGGTTCTTGAGACACTTGATAAGGCTATATCGCGTCTCGCCATCCCAGCCTTTTGGCATGTCGTGGCTCACGAACCCATGCATGTACCTTTCCGGTGTCCACGTCCTCGCCCTCACCATCTCCTGCAACCAAGCAATATCCACTGTTTCCACTGTCCTGTCGTGATTCCGAACATCACTAAGGAATCCTAGTTTGCCCCAGGAGGTGACCCGCACAGGAAGACAGTCATGGTTTAGCTCGATCTCTACCATGGGCTCGCGAACTGCCAGTGTGATCCTCAGTGAGTGTTCCATCAGAACCAAGACATGCTTTCGGATCGTGCCCAATCTTGTGGTGTGGTCCTGGGTCTCATCCACACCACATACGCGGACGATGATTGTAGTATAGGCTGGGAAGACGGAGGTAGCCCGCAGCAGATCCCTTGCGTTGATGCGAACTTTCGCCTGACTTAGCGGCTTATCCGTCTGGAACTGCAGAACGATGGTCGGCGCAATCAGGGATATCTGAGAAACTGCAATTGGTGTACAGTGCGACAGCCTTTGGTTCGAGCGGTTATAATGCTGCTCAATGCGGCGTTCAAGTCCATCGAACATGGCCTCGGAAGACCGAAGAGTGTCTGAGCCTAGGATGATGATGCTCCTGTGGTGGAAGTTTACAAGCCCCATCAAGCGGGTTTGGGTATTGACGTTGAGCATACCGAAAGCGTGGCGAGATGTAACACCTGTGTAGAAGTTGTGTGTGACCTCATGGTTGCTGAGCGCAAACCTAGCAATAGACGCAAGAATGTTGAAACCCAGATCTAGAAATTTCGGTTGGCTTAGCGCGACTTCGTACTCCCGCGTCTTCTCCGACAATAGGAATTGCCGGCTGGCACTGACCTTGTCACTAGTCGTTAGAAAGCAGATGGTACCCTGCTTGCCGTTTGGAGCCACTACGACGTCCCTTAGCAAACGGCGCGCGTTCTTCAACTTGAGTGCGTCCATCTTTCCCAGCTCATACAGGACCTTGGTGAGGAGTTTGACGTCAGAGTGGGGATGTACGGGATTTCCACTACTCTCGAAACGAACTGACAGATCGCATGCCACTCCGTTCCATAAGATGTCGAGCAAAGGCAAAATCGTGATTTCCCTACTGTGATACATGTCGAAGTCTTCCGATGGAGAGTGACCAGGAGAATCAGCGGGTATATCCGGTGTTTCCATATTGATGGCAATGGTACGCAATTTTGAGAGACTTGATCCGATATGTTGCATCCACTGATGGCATGTCTCCATAGGATCGAAGATGACAGTGTTGAAATAGTCACGCTCGGAGAACACCTCCCAGTTGCATCGGAACACATTTTGACCATAGAGAACGCCGATTGCTTCATGGTAAATCTGACGGCAGGTCTGAAGGATGGCTGAGTTACCCGCGAAGCCTCTGGCCTTGATGACTGAGTCTTCTGCGTTTTCCACGAGCAAAACGGGCTCGTCGTCTACGAGTACGTATTCGTAGATCTCATTGCGAAGTTCGGCCGGGATGGAGAGTAGGAAGGTTTCAGCCGGATTGCTGATCGTGGAGTACACTTGCGCGATTTGCCTATGCACTGGGTTCGAAAATGGGAAGTGCATGATGGAGTGAGAGACGGCGCCTCAGCTGCTGAGTAGTGGTGCCGCGGCGGCGACTGGAATTCGTTAGTAAAAGCACATACACAACTACAGTGAGAAAAGAACTTACCGGATGGCTGTTGGCGTAGTTGTATGCGATTGTAACACGCGCGGGTGCGGTGTATCGTGTGGCCCTACAATGCGAGGGAAGCGACGATGGTAACGCGAGTGTCGGTGTTCAGGAACTCGCAGTGAGGTTGTTGTGCTTGAGCTTGGGCCTCAATTGTACTAAGAGGAAAGAGCACCCAGGCAGCGACTGTTTGCACTAGCGCGCAGGAAGGTGTTTCGTTCACACTATGCTACGTCATCTTCTCATATCTGTACTCAGGTGATGAACAATCCGCTGGCAATAAGCCTCGACGTTGACGGCGACGCACGACCGCAATTACTGGATGATACGAGTCAATTAATCCGGGGTACACCAGTCACAACGGCTAGGTGGTGCCGACAAAAGACACGTGGGATGTGATGCCCACGCAGATGTTTGGAAAGTGATGATGGATTTAGAGCTTCCATGTAGAGTGGAGTTTTAGTTATGGGATATGTCCAGGCAGATATGTGCTAAGCAATGCCAGGTTAATGCAAAAATGGACGTAAAGACATGGCAAAAGAACCTGTGTTCTTCCGACCTTTGCGCTCGAGCTTGGAATCTTTTTGCGAGCAGCTTCGGTCGTGTACATTTGTGTATATGGTAGTCCCACATCTCAGTGACGGAGCCGATAAAGACGCCAAAGAATGGCATACATCGTCTGGTCCTTCCACTCCTCCTCACCGTAGTCCTCTTCAGGCCAGTCTAGAATCCTCATGAACGATTGCTCGTGCTTTGGACAATCCAATTGCTTCCACCACCCAGGATTACGCTTATCAAACAACGACGTGAAGTCACCCGTGTCCAAACTCTTCACAGTGACCGCTACGGAAGACTGCGTATCATCGTCAACCTTCAGGATGACAGCTCGCATAGGGACACACTGGCTGTTCAACTCAACCTGAACGCGTAACTTGCGGGTGTCTGCGGCCGTTTCGGGCTCCAAATGCTTCAAAAGCAGGTAGGCGTTCTTTCGGATATCGCCCAGTTTTGCAGTGTAGTCTCGAGTTTCGTTATGGCTACCACATACACGAACGATGATCGTAGTGGTCCCCATGAAGACTGAAGTGACACGTAGAAGATCCCATGCATCGATCTGAACGGCAGCTAGGTGCGGCGACTCATCTGTGTGGAACTGCAAGATGATAGTGGGTACGTTTTGGAACATCTTGCTTGCTGAAACCGGATCACAGCGTCTCGGTGAATCCCAGTTCCGAAATCTTTCCTGCCCATAAGTCTCTGCAATGCGACAATCAAGCTTCTTGAACATTGCCTTGGAGGTTTGAAGGGAATTAGTATCTAAAATTAGGGTAAAGCGGCTTTTGCGTAGAAATTGCGGTGTAACAAGCTCGCGAAACCTGGTGTTGACGTTGAGCATGCCGGGTTGGTGCCCAACGATGACACCGTTGTGGAAGTTGTACGTGAATTCGTGATCACCAAGTGCAAGGCAAATGATGGTACCTTGGACCCCGTAAGATAGATCGAACATGGTCAATGAGTTTCTCCGAGGAACGATTTCGTATCGCTGAGTCACCGTTGACATCTCAAACGCACGCCACATAGAGCCTCTGTAGTCAGTCGATCGATACGTAACGATGCCTCCGGTACCGGCCGTATACAGGTCGACAGATTCGAGCAAGCGACGCGTTTTCTGCAAATCGAGTGCATCATTCTTTCCTAGCTCAATAAGGACGTTGGCGATGGATGTTGTGTCGTGTTGTTGCTCTTCGAAGTCGGATTCGTAGTCATCTGATTCATCGTCCTCAGCTATCTCAAACATGACTGACGTATTGCGGGTGTCGCTGTTCCAGAAGACGTCCAGTAACGGTAAGACGTCTATCGGCCGACGGGAGTTCTTGCGCACATTCCTTTCGGAAATCCAATCCTCATACCTCTCCGGTATCTCTGGCACGTCCAGGTTGATGTTGACAGTGCGCAGTCTCGGAAGACAGGAGCCAATGTCGTCTATCCATCTTTTGCATACTTCCATGGGGCTAATGATCTCAACGTCGAAAAAGTCGTCGTGTATGCTGTGTTGGAAGCGGAAGGCATTCCGGCTGTAAAGGAGACCGACTGCCTCATGATAGATCTGACGGCAAGTATGAAGGATAGCAGGGCTTCCTATGGAGGTAGAAGTCCCTTTGGTCACCTTGGTCTTTCTAACATCAACCTTGGCAATCTCGAACGTTATAGGGCAGGGTTCCACGAGAAGATACTCGTAGATCTGATTGCGTAGCTCAGGCGCGATAGTGAGTAGTGAGGGTACATCAGGTGCCACAGATCCGGAGCACGCTTGCGCGATGCGTTTACGCTTAGGATCTGGGACTGGAAAGTGCATGGCTGCAGTTCAAGCCAGCGGTTGGACGTAGGTGCGACTGGCGGTCGTTAGTAAGTGTACTTGAACAATACCCATGATGAACGAAGAACTTACCGGATAGCTTCCGATGCTGTCGCATGCAACGGCGGCGCGAGTTAGTGTAACGTGTTGCTTGGTTTCTGTACAAGACGACAGCAACGGTACCGAGGTAGAGGTTGGGTGAGTGGCAGTGATGCTGTATCGCCTGAGCTTGGTTTCTGTACAAGACGACAGCAACGGTACCGAGGTAGAGGTTGGGTGAGTGGCAGTGATGCTGTATCGCCTGAGCTTGGACCTCGCTTGTTGTGGAAGGAAAGAGCGACGACGGTTGCCTAGGAGCGCAAAAAACGTCTCTCACTTACCTGTATTACGTCATGTTACTTTCGGACTTGAAAGAGCAGCGTGATAACACACCCGTCACAATGGTTGGATGATGGCGAGCCAATACGCCCAAAGGCCAGCAACGTGAATATAATCTGCGTAACAACAAGACCTCTCTATTCAGCTCCACGACATCTAAATACGACCCCTCTCCAGAAACTTCTTCGGCAAATCCACAGTCTTCGCCCGCATATACTCCATAGCATCTAGTCATCAGTCAGCAAAGTTCACTCACCCAAAGCCCCACTCAATGTACTTACTCTTCCCCAAAGTATCATACGAAGAACACGTATTATACCCCCCATCCCTAAGATGATCATGCAACAAAAAATGCACCGACCGTATCCCCGCAATCTCAAACCGGTCAATCGGCTTCCCCTGGTACTCATCTTTCCCAAGAAGTTGCTTAACGCGCTCGATCGTCATAAACGAGCGAAGCCAATCCCACTCGTCGTCGTGGCGCACGAAGAAGCCGCAGTTGCAGTCTGATGCTTTGTCTCCGGAGCGGCCGGCAACGATGTAGCCTAGTGGTGCGCAAACGGTTTCGCCGAAGGAAGATAGATCGGCTGGGGAGGCGGTCTCGTAGGAAGCTTGTTGGCGGGGGTATTCTTTTGTGATGGCGGGTGGACTGAGGTCGGTGGACGTTTTCTTGCCGTACATGGTGTGAACGCGAAGGGGGAGTTGGTCCTGGGGGAGGAGTGAGACCCAGTAGTCGTAGTAGGGCTTTGGTGCGATCTGGCGCAAGTCGTTCGATAGCGAGAGACCGGGGGCAGATTGGAGGAATACCTCGAGACACCAGCGGTTGAAGCCGTTGGGGATGTCTGGTCGTACTAGCTCGGGATCGGACGTTTGAGCGAAGATGCGGAAGTCGACTGTTGCTACGTCCTGGTTGCGGGCATCGATTGGTGAAGAGCCGTTTTGGTGGAATCTGAGTGTCTTGAAGCGGTTTACGTTGTCGCCCATGGCTGATCATGTTAGTCTCGCGTTGTGTGTCTGGAAACGTGTGCTTACCGTAGCGGATCTGGTCTTCGGTGATCTTGCACTTCTCCTCGATATCGAGACCGCATACAAACATATGCCATTCGCATTGCCACCCAGCTGGAGCAGTAATACCTACCTTGGTCGTCGGTGGCGGGGGAAGACCCTTGACTCCCGTGACACGCACGAGATCTTCACCCACTTGCTCCATCTTGACATCGGTGATATCGGCCGTGACGTCACAATTGTAGTATAGTGGTCCCTGAATCTCGTACAATAGTTGTGAAGTGCATGTTCCGACGGTCACGCAACCTGTTCACGTTAGCTGCGTATCATCTTGGCTCGAGGTGCCGCCACCTACCTCCGGTATCTTTCTCTTTCGCAATATTGAAGCTACCATCATATTCGACTTCCGCGATGGGAAAGCCCATGTTGATGTGCTTTCCAGTCTTCATGAGATCTTTGAACATAGAGTAGTATCCCCCCGTAACGTAGGCAGAACACTCTACAAGATGGCCTGCAATGAGTGCTCCGGCAAGTTCGTCAAATTGATCGTTCTTCCAGTCGTGCCACCAGCTGACCATGTTAGCAGAGGCCGAAATAGTATCGTAATGACTTACGCCGCCGCACCAATGACTGGCGCAGCATCTGCAAGCCTTCCACCAAGCACAATATCAGCGCCCTGTCGGAAAGCTTCCGCGATGCAAAGTCCACCCAAATACGCTTGTGCGCAGATTGGCTGCATTCCCCATTCCTCCAGCTTCTTGCCATGCATTAAGCTTTCGAACTTTTCTCCCTTTTTGATAAGACTGTTGACCTGCCCAGTCACATCGTCTCCTTCTATCCATGCCACTTTGAGGTGACCAGCACCCGCTTTCTCCAACATATCGACTACAACTTCAGCGAGAAGTTCAGTATCTGAAGCACCAGCATTCACCGCGAGCTTCGTCTTGTTCTTGACCAGATTCGCTATCGCTGGCTCGAGGCATTGGATGAAGGTATCGGCGTACATGGCGTTCTTCTTCCGGTCTTCGAGGCTCGTCGTGCCATTGGCGTGCTTCGTAGGCTTCTGCTTAACTTTGCCGCTACCATGTACGGTCATGGTCATTTCGGATAGCCAATCGCCTGTTCGTGTCAGCTCGAGGTCTTCCATAGCCAGCTTTCAGGGGAGTCTTACCCATCACAACATCCACCTCCGGATCACCCGCCATCCTCATAATAGCAGTCGAACGATCCGTAAACCCTCCCGAGCATCCTGCGATGCGCACAGCGCGCTTGCGGTTAGTAGAAGGAGACATTTTCACTCTTTTGGGGTTTGGCGCCATGTATATCTCGTAAGAAATCTAATAAGGTATCAATTGCTCCATGACGGAGAGTCTCAAAGCTATATACCAGGCCGTCCAGGACCAGCTTTCCGGGGTACGGCAAACCATCGAGGCTGTTGCAGGGCCGTTCCCCGATACCGTCCAATAGCGGCTACGCATAAAGGTAGCGCGACACTCATGTCATGTACTGGGAGCTACTTGCGGATAATCTTGAACGATGGAAGACGATTTCCTGAGAGCTTGTGGCGGGGTTGCGGGGAAAGAAACGGACGCGAGCGCGCGGTGCTGCTGAAGGCCCAGAACTGTATTCATTGTGATACCACCAACGGTTTGATGTGAATGCGATGTTTTCATAGCTGAGTCGTCGATTTGCGCATAAAGCCGACGCGTGTTTGGCTTTCGCGAGTTGGTGAAAGGAAGGGGACTGTGACGCGCGATGTTCGCGATCCGGCTAACGACTCATTTTAGTCAGCGATGAGGTTTTGCATGACTCGGCGACTTTGTCCAACTCCAGGAAGGAGTGCTCCGCATCATCTCGGGTCTACCAGCGTCACCTCCTGGACATCACCACCAAGCTCAGAACTGCCTAGGCCTATCTACCCGTTGCATTCGTAATCATCGATGAAACGCCTATGCAGCGCGCTTTGTACGGCACAAGCTGCTAATCCTCCTGCCCATATATCCATCACAAACCCCGATGAGTAGCGCAATTGCTCCGAAAGGGGTTCAAGAGAATGGCGCTGCTACTCCTTCATTTACTAATGGCTTCTACTGGCAGTGAATCCTTACTCGAGAGTCAAAACCTTCGATCTTGCTTGCGATTCATGCATTCTTCGGGACATTGTGCAAATAGGCGGATACCTTGCGAAAGCAGTCTTAGTCGCATTGAACTCGACCATCAGCCAGGCAATCACTTTCACACCATGAAATTACACAAAGTACAAAAATTCTAATCAAACAGGCAGAGCCTTTGTCTAATCTCGCAATTGTGTAGTGTACAATGTCACTTAGGCATCAATTCACACCTCCAACAGCAACATAAGAGAACCCCTTACCGACCAGCAGCCATGTAGCCCAACGCAGCGGTGAATAAGCAGAGAAACTAGGTGGTCTCCTACATAAGCGGTTCGAGCTTCGCCTTTCTTCATCTCCCCAGTCACTTACAGCCCTACTTCAACCATGGACAAAACTCAAACTCAGCTGGTCGTCTTATTGGCAGCTATCACTGCCGGTTCGGTTGTGACTTTCGAGTACCTACGGTGGTCTGATTCACGGCTGAAGACTCAACCAGTGTCCTTAGTTGCGCAGACTACACCCGAGACTCCTCAAGTTACGACTCATCCTGGAAAGAAAGAGGAGAGTGCTCGGCAGTCTCAGGTCGATACCTCCACTAATCAGTCCGTTGTGAGAACCACAGTAGAGACTCACCCCGAAAAGCCCGAAGAGGGTGGTCAGGAGTCACAGAACGATGTTTCCGCGAACCCGCCTGCCGCCGAGACCACAACACAGCATCCTGGGGTTCCATGCCATTGCGATCCGTGCAAAGAGCACAGCCAAAGGTCTCAAATGGATACCTCCGCAAATCGGCCTGCCATGGTTTCTAGAGATAAGGAGAACCGAACTACACTCGATGTCCATCTCATTCAGTCGAGATTTGACTTCCAGTGCTCCTGTGACTTGCACGCAAAGCAGCTTTACTTCAACTGGCCTTGGACATGCAATTCCAAGCACAGCGAGGACGACATAATCCTTCAACCCAATTCACGACCTACCCTTATCCAAGATCACGAAGATGGTATTTACGAACCCCTGTTACTGGCACACCGCACCATCGAGTACTTCTCCCGCCCCGAATCTGCCATGGACTCCAGCCAAACCGCGGCCCTTGCCCAATGGCGCAAAAGCCACGAGCGCACCCGCGTTCTCGAAATGCTAGCCCAGCACGACATCCGCAACAAAGACACGCAGTTCTTAACAGATTGGGTCGTCTCGCAGCTCAACGAAATCTTCTTCTTCGGCGCAATCAAGAGCCTCGAAACTGTCTGGAACACCAATGAGCTGGACAGCGAACACGGCATACTTGGAGACGCCATTACAAAACTCAAGGACGGAAACAACCACTCATTCATCCGCCTCCATCCGACACGTCGCTGCTACACACAATCAGAGTACAAGCGTACAGGCAAGACCCTCGCGGAAGAACGCATGGGATGCATTCTACACGAGATGCTACATATCTTCCTGGATCAACATATGTGTGAACTATGTGGTACGCCCGAAAATAGGTCTTCTCATGGAAGGGCGTGGCAGCGGATTGCAAGGAAGATTGAGGAGCAGAGCTTGCGTCTGTTGGGTATCGAGGCGGATGTAAATCGACTGTCTAGCTTTATGAATGATTGGCAGGACTACGATACTAGGGAGAATGTTAGTATTTGCGATTTGCAGGATTGGGGCTTTTGGGAGAGGCCTGAATATGACGTGTAGGGGCTGAGCGTAGACGATGGATACTGGGTAGTGTTTTTGTCTAATTGTTCGATGCTAGAGCGGAGACCATACACCCTGGTCGAGGATGAGTCTAGATACTCAGATGTACTTTGATAGAAATATGATTATATGTCTGAAATCACTTTGTTGCGATTGAATACAGTGCCAGCCGCTTCATGTTGAGGTGCTGAAGTATTCAGCCTTGCCCCACCTCAGGGTTGGACGCACCTTCCCCTGCCGACAGATCCGTCATCCAGCTAAGGCAATCAGGGTTCTGACAAGGTTCTAGACTTCATTAGAACACCAACATACCATCGCGACATTCTAGACAGTGCCCAAATTTCTTTTCATCAGCTCGCGCCCTCTGTTGACGCCACGGGTTCATTTCCCTGGTTGCGGCTGACGCTATGACGTCGCCGCCCTGTGCTCCGCGGTGCTTGTTCGATGAGCAAACGTAACCAGCCGTGCCAGCGTACTCGAAGAAGGGCACAATGGCAGCCTCTACAGACTCACTTGCTGTCACTGAACCTGAGAAACCGAATCAAATGCGCACTTACGATTGATACAACATTGTTACATCGTCACATACCTGCTAATGTAGCCTACGCACGCCGCGCTTGACAAACCGAGGCATAGCGCCACCATGGACATCGACAAAGAGTTCCGCCAGGTTGATGAGCTCGATATTGGACTGGATCGGTCACATATCACGTATCAAGGTCAGATCGAAGTAACCGGAAGTCGCTCCGAAAGTAGCAATGACGACACAGCTCACCCACGCGATCCGTCGCCTGTATCATCCACTAGTAGGATAGTCAACAAGGTTCGCCAAAAGAAACACATTGCCGGTGTCAAAATCAGAAAGACTCTGCATATTGCAAAGGCTGAAGATGAAATCGATGAGCCTGATCCTGATTCGCTGGTGCTGGTCGACACGACGGAAGGAAAGCAATCGAAGTCACGTCTCGATCACAAGTCCACGGCCTCAGAGAAACATACTTTCAAGGACCTCCTGCATAATCCGATTGATACAGTGAAATCCAAGGGATGGTGTCAAGGTAAGTGAATCTCACCTTGACGCGGATAATACATGGTTTGCTGACTGAAGACTTCCAGGAAACCAAGAAGTCGCAGCAAACATAGCTGTGAGCGAAGTTCCTCATGGCCAGGAAGTGGACTTGGTTAATGCCGCGGCTGCGATAGAACAAGCTACGACTACGGATGCGAAGGCGCAAGCCCAGCAAACTTTCGCTGAGATGCTCAACCAAAGACAGAGCATCTATGTCAGATGGTCACTAGATCGGCATGTGACAAAGATTAGGGTTCTTCCTCGAGACACCGCGGTGCTCAAGCCACGATCTGATTTCGAGAAGCAAGATGCCGCAGGCCGCGGCGTCACTGACTGGAGAGCATATGGTTCGCACTTATTGGACTACTACGCTCACCGATACGGAGGTCAATATATAGGCTACGGATCCGACCCGCCAACCCCTAGCAAAGAGACAATCATGCCGAATATCGAGCGACTTATCGTTGCGACATCGCCTTTCCAGGAGTTCATCATGACCACGCGCCGCGTATACCGCTGGGAGAAGCCTCTCGAGACAACAAAGTACTTGGTGATCTACCTCGTCCTTTGGTATTTCAACCTACTACTACCAGGCATGATGTCAGCGCTACTGTACCTGGTTGTCGAGCGACGCTGGCACGGACAGTCCATCCAAGACCTCCGCGAAGACATCGAACACAGAGAAGACGTGGAGAGAACGGCCTTATCACTTACCGAGTTTATCGAGAAACAGGGCGACGAGAACTGGGCACACGACCTGCTTCAAGACCTTGGTCCTTGGCTTATGGTTCAGCTAGCCGACCTGGCCAACTTCTTCGAAAGTGTCCGCAACTTCTACGAGTGGAGGAAGCCAATGCGCACGCTGGCTGTTATCGTCGTTATGACTGTCGCCATTCTCATCACGGTCTTCACGCCTCTTTGGCTAATCATCAAGATGTCCACGTTCTCTGCTGGTTTCACCTTCTTCTGCCTCTTTCCCATCTCGGTCAACTTTCCGAATTACCGCCTGCTTGTCTCGCCTTCTAAGCGGCTGCTCTGGAATATCCCAACGCATGCTGAATGGGCGATCCAATACATACAAGCCGAAGGTCTCCGTGTAATCACCGAGAAGCAGAACACCAGTGCCAAAGCTACGGATCTAAAGTACACAAATGATCTCAAAGACTCTGCCTCACCATCCAACCAAGACTTCGCCTCCTACCGCTCACAATTCGACAAAACGCCCGGACACCTCATCATCAACGCTACAGGAGTGCGTTTTGTCGCGAAACGTCCGCCACATGAAGTCCGCTTCTCGCTGCCA